TCCTGCTGACTTCTGTTAGACTCCCTGGCACGCAGGCTTGTATGCAACACATCTTGTGTGAACACAAGTGAGCTGAAGATACACGCAGCTTATACAGAGCTATTTATATAAGGTGAGAATTCGTACTTCTGCCTGTTCATAACTAAACTTTCTCTTCTTAGACATGTAAGCAGTTTTCTTGGTGTACTCAAGGGAAAGATTTCTTTCAAAATGAAAGCAATTACGAACAAGGTACAGCAGCATCTTTTGGGTCTTAAAAGGTATTTGTAAGTGTGTGAGATGATGTTCTTTTCCACCTGTGAAGTCTTAATGGCTCCATCACCAGAGCCTGCAAAATTGTCAAAACCTTTAATGTATTCTTCAGTACCCCTGTGAGGTAGGTCAAACCTACTCTTGCCATTTTGCAGATGTGAACCTGCAAAACAGATACTAAGCATTAGATCCACCAAAGGACTTGGATGCTTAAAGTAGGATTTGCTTCTTTAAGAACACTGTGAGAGGAGGTAGGGCTCCCCTTCTACTGACCTGCTCAGTGGTCAGAAAATTTCCCCAGGATGTAGGGCACTTGGGCTTAATTCCCCTCTCCTCTTGCTTTGTCCTCCTCTGACTAGGTGCATCTTTTAATTCTCTTCTGCAAAGTGGAAGTTTTTCAATTGGAGGGGTAGAGAGTGCCCCCCACCCCAAACTAAGCAGCAGACTATAGGTTAAGCACAGCTTTGAGGCAGAAGATGTGTGTTTGAACCCCTCAGGAAAAGAAGTTGTATTTGCTGAGCTAGTGGATAAGGGGGCACCACCTCCTCCATTTTGAAAGGAAGTAATGGCCCACACCTTGCTCAGCTTTTGAATGAACCAGCTTGAGTAGATACCTGCAGAAGGGGGTGGGGTTCAGGGTTATGAATCCTGAGCAAAGGAAGATACTGACTAGTAAGACACCTAAGTTCTCCCCCTTTCCAAGGCTTTTAACACATCCTCAACATTTTCTTTGGACTCCTACCTCAGTGCATTAATAGATCTCACTCTGAAACTCCCAACTTTCCAGATGAATTGTATACATAGCCTTGGTGCCTGACTCGGGTTGGAGAGTCCACTGTCAGGACCAGGCCCCTAACCAAACTTAGTTGCGGCTTAGTTGTGGCTAAATACCTTGCCCAATCCTGCACAGGAAATCTTTGAGGTATCTCTTCCCAGGAAGGGCAGGGAACTTAAACCATGTATCCTGGCTAGTGCTGTCTAAATAACGTTCTTCTCAGCTCTGCAACTGAACTGATAAAAATAGGGCTGTTTTGGGTCAGATGAAATATTTCATTTTACGGTGTGTGTTACCTTTAAAAATAAACTTGGCTGTTGATAGACATTCCTCTACAGGGACCTGATCCACAGTCCCAACAATTGCACCTCCTGTCACGCCATATGTGCAGACATTAGATTCCAGTTGCGCCTTACTTGCCAGTGCTGGGGGAGCCTGGGATCACTTGCTGACATGCCAACCCTAGTCCTGTCTGGCAGTCTGCACCGCTGCTAGTCACAGTTGAAGCAGCCAGGCCAGCAAGGGAAGGAGGAGAGGGAGGGACAGGAAGTAAACCAAGCCATTGTGCTGGCCTGGCACTCCCTGCAGCCCTCAGCCTAAGTGGGGCAGGAGCAGTTTTGGGACTTTCCCTGCCTCTGGCTCAGTTTGGGCCAACAGCTGCAGTGGGCATGTCCCTCCCTTCTTGCACAGAGGTAACCCCTGCTGGAGCTGGGAAGAGAGGAATGGGGGCTAGTGCTTGCACTGGAGTGGGGGTGCTGGTGCCAAGATCAGTGGCAGTGCTGGGGAGCCTTACCTTCTTTGAGGACTCCAGAAACTCCCTGACAACAGCTGACATGACTCAGTCTGCCTGCAAAGGAGTGGGTAAGGGTGTTCATATAAAGTACAGATTCAAATAATCATGTTTTGCAGTTTGGATTAAAGCAAAATCAAGCCTTTTTTTGTATTTTCTTACAGGTTCTGAACTATGGATACCCTCAGTGCAGCTAGTACTTCTTTTGCACTCAGTCTCTTCACAAAGCTGAGTGAAAATGCCAGCACAAAGAACGTATTCTTTTCTCCCTTTAGTGTTTCCTCAGCCTTGTCAATGGTTTTTCTGGGTACAAAAGGTAACACTGCAGCCCAGATGAAACAGGTATGTTTGGAAGAACTTGAAACACTAAACAGATGTTTGTATTTGAATCTGAGCAGCAGATCCTCTGTGTGCTCTGTACTTGCATAAAGCTCTTGTTGTCATCCTAGTGTCCCTGTATTCAGAATTCTGCATTTTGTATCTCATAAGCAATACCTTGTAGAAAAGAGCTCTCTAGCTGAATTGGATATTCTCTTCAGCTTAGTCCTTTGGATATTCTCTTCATCTTGGTATCAAATTGCACCAATAATCCAGAAATGTAAATGGGCATAGCATTTTCTGGAAATCCATCCCTTTTTAAGATGTTAAGGTGAACAAATAAAAAAAACTACTTGTTTCTGCAAATTTTGGGTGGATTACTAAAAATGTAATGGCAAATCTTGATCTAGTGCTCTAGAAAAAAAGAGGGCCTAAAGCAAGAAGAGCAGGGAGCCAAGTATGGAGCTCCAAAATTCAGCTGAGCAGTCCAGCAAAGATGCAGGCAGAATTCAAGACTTAGAAGTAATAAGACATGGAAAAGACAGGCATACTTGAAAGTAGCAGGATCAGTTGCGGTCAGGGATAAGGTCAATCTCTCTACAAAAGGCTATTAGAGAGAGGGAATTTGGTATTGTAGGTATGTGCAATGTAAACCATGCCTCAGGTACTTTTTACATTTTGGGATTCTCTTAATGGGGGTGGGGGGCGGAGAGTGGGGTTAACATAGTCCCTATAGGTTTTCTGACATAAAAATTATGGCTGCTTGCAGAGGTTAAAAAAAAAAAAAGGCAGCACTTTATTTGGACCCAGCTCGCCCAGTGTCTTTACAGAGCACTTCAGCGGGGCTTTTTTGGCAGTGTTATCTAATAGCTGATTGAATCAGCTTTAGCTAAAAGCCCCGCGGAAGTGCCTGAACTGTAGAGATGCTGCAGAGCTGGGCTGAAATAATGCAATGCTGCTTCTTGTAAGGTGCTTTTTGTTTTTTGTTGTAACGTGTGCAAGCAGCTTATGAATTTAGAAATTAGATTCAGGCTCTCCAACTACAGCACTATTCAATACTTGGCTTCTGGGAACGTGTCTAAACTTTCACCTTCTATAATGTGCATTTTAACCCCACCTGAATTCCTTAGGATTTAACCCCACCTTAATTCCTTAGAACTGATGCTCATTGTATTTTGTGCAATGATTCAATTGCTACCATGCTTGCAGGTTTTGCTGAACTTTACATGTCCTTGTAGTAAAATTTTCCTACTCTCGTAGTGGGTGGGAACATTCTTTAACTCCTTTGGAAAAAAATCTCTTCTTGAAAATAGCATCCTACACAGCAGCTCTGTTAAAATGGTGGTGTTCACATCAGTCTTTTTGTAATGTATTTGTTTAAGGAAACCAAGTATTTGAATGGATATGTGGAAAAATAACTTTATTCACAAGATTACTTGAAGTCGAGCTGCATTTGAACTTTAAGTATTGATTCCAAATAATAATAAACACAAAGGCACTCTGCTTTTTTAATACTGCTATATATCTGAAATTCTTCCTTACACTTTGTGGGACTCGCCTCAGATTGACACCTCACTTGAAAGCATAGACATGCAGGGTACCTGATCTAAATCACGTTAGTTTGAAACCTTGCCAGTGGTATTATGTCCTGTCACAGACTACATTTGATTGAATTGGGTGATTAAATGTCTTGTGAAGGTCATTTCACCACTGATCTGTCCATCTCCCTTGTTGATAAAAATGGCTCTTTCGGAAGCCTCCTTAGGTCTTTGACTGTTTTGACTATTTTGGCAGTCTACTACATCCCAGTGCAATAAGCTGTTTTTTCCCTTTGAAAAGCCTCTTCAGGATGTTTTCATTCACTAAAATGTTTAATACTAGGAAAATTGCTAATGAGTTCTGTTCTATTAAATTCCGATTGTGTTAAAAAAAGGGAGGCGTCAGAAAAAAAATATTCTGGAGTATTAATTTTACAGTACTTCAGTGCAGTTGTCTAAGATGAAATGACAGCCAGAGCTATTCTTGAATATATTCCCAAGAGACTTCTTGCTAATTTATTGCAATATCAGCTGCTCCTTTTTATTAAGGAGAAGACGGACTTGGGGATGGAACAAAGCAAATATGAAATAATGTTACAAAAAGTTGCTTTTAGAAGGCTGAGACTCTGACCCTCTTTGAAAGAAGCAAGGACAATAGTAGAGCCCTATGGTAATAGTTAATTGTAGGCTAGGTTGTAAAATGAAGCTGGAAGCTCTAGGTGAATGACTGCTTACAGGCATAATGTAAATAAATATCATGGTTAAAAAGAAATTAACCTACTAGTTTTGGTAAGTAACAATTATGATTACAGAGTAAAAAAATAAGGGATGTTTGTCCTCCACATTATATATAAAATAAGCACCTTTCTTCTTTTCTCCTGCAGGATGTCACTGTCCTTGTTTATGTCTGTCTCATGGAAAATTTACATTGTCTTTTTACATTTGTCTCTCTTTTTTTAATTGGATGTGGTGACATGCTTGGTATGGATATAAAAAAAATATTCTGAGTTTCTTTTTGGAAACAGGATAATTTTCAAGCCTATGACACTTGGTTAAACTGGAAGCTGGGGCCTAATTAGAGCAGTGGAAAATTCCTAAAACAGAGATGATAGCTGAATTGCTGCAGCAAGCACTCACAGACCCTGAATTGCTGAACCAAGTAGTACCTAATAAAGTCCACCTTGGAATGTAATAACTACCCGAGAGTTGCCTTAAAAACAAGAACCAATTACTCTGTGCCTGGCTGATTTGGTGTTGGACAAGATGCTCTAGAATATAATAAATGAATGATGTATGTATGTGTGTAATGTGGAAAGAATTAAGTTACCAGAAGACTCCTGTTTGGAGCAGGACTGCCAAACTTCTAAGTGGCCATGAGCTACACCATGGGGGTAGGGTCGTGCGCCCTGTTGGTGCTGCATCCCATGTGCAGGCACCGCACCCTCAGCTGCAGCTGTGAGATCCCATGCTACACTGTAGTGCACTGTAGTCATCCCAGCTCCACCTTCAGCTCCCTGAGCTCTGGGTTCCCTGAGTGTTGTGGGTTGTGCCACATGGCACTGCCCCACCCTCTGGGGCACAGGCAGGAAGCAGAAGCTCGTGGAGGACGTGGAGCCTGTAGTTCCGGGCTACTACTGCAGCCAGAGCAATGGGAGGAGTGGCGGCTGAGTGGGAGTCCAGGGGCTGCAAATTAATCTCTCCTGGGCTGCATGCTGCCCTTTGGCTGCCAGTTGGACAGCACTGGTTTAGAGCCTGATTGATAATTTGGGTAGTATCTGCATGAACAGAAGAATGTGTCTATATGACTAAGTGTGGGCAACTTTGATTGGAATCATGTAGATAGAAAATGCATCATTTTGGAAGCCTTAAGATCTTTGTGCCCTTGCACTGATCCCCATATCGGTTGGTTTAGTCACCTGAATGATAGCAAGTAAAAGCTATTCAGGTTTATACTTGGTGCATTTATTCAAACCCACAGCATTGGGGCTGCATTAAGTGTCCACGGAGGTTGCAGAAATGACTTCTCTTTAAACTGTCCAGAAATGTTTGGTTTTATTGCCTGAAAGTGCACAAACTCCCTCTGAGTGAGCCGAGCCCTCGTGTTGCTAACCCTTCACCGTGACCGACTGTATAATGCTTTTAATAGTGTTTTCTTTCCCTTACTGGGAAAGCTTCTCTCTTGTATAGGGCTTCCTTGAATGTTCAAACTACAACTTTCATCTCTTACATTGGTGAAAGGATTATATTGCCTTCTAGGTAAAGTAGTGCCGATTAACTTATGAGCCTTTCCAAATACAAATCTCTCTCTTTCTCTAGGTGCTTTGTTTAAGCAAAGCAGAGGATATTCACAAGAGTTACCAGCCACTTGTCTCAGAAATTAACAAACCAGGCACTAAGTACATACTTAGAACTGCCAACCAGCTCTATGCAGAAAAGACGCATGAATTTCTTGCAGTAAGTAAATATTCATTTTGTGGGTCTTGTACTATTAGGTACATGCTATCCTTCTGCTTCTGAGTGCAAATAAAGGTGCTACTGTTTGGTTTGCTAAAAATGAAAACTGTCTCCAAACATAATCCTGACATTTCAGTTCATCTGAGGTGTCTCTGTTTGGTAATGCATAGATCTGAACTCTTCAGACCTGGAGCAAAGTGTTTTTGGTGAAAGAGTCCAGTTATTCAGGATTCCATTAATATTTGTTATATTTTTGGCCTGGGTTCTGGATTGAAGGCTTTTTCCTAGTTGGTGGCTGAGAAGGATTAAATAGGGAAATGGATATTGTTGTGGGTTATAAGAAGTATTTTGTAGTTGTAGGATTATTTTACTTAACTTGTCTCACTCAGGAGGCTCATCAAGGGCATGCAGTTTTTAGCAAGACAGAAGAGGGACTGAAAAGTTTTTGAAGGCTTACCTAAAAATGATGTGGACTCTGTTATATAGGTTCCCCTTTTAACATGAGAATCAGAGGCATGTTTCTGAACAAATGTTACTCTGTTTTTTTGTGCCCAGAAAATTAAGAAGTCCTTTGAAAATCTCTAAAGATGTAACAATATTTGTTTTTCATCAAGACTCATCCCACCAGCTTCCCAAGTGTATAGTAACTTATTTACTAATGGGCATTTTGGTAGGCATGAACTCGGATCACAAGTTTCTTCAAAGTTTAATTATTTAGTTACTGTAAATTTTTAATTTGGCATAATTTTAGCGTTTAGTTGCTAAAACAGAAGAACTTAGTATGTAAACTGGAAAGACAAAGTATGTTTTTGATCTAGCCATAGGACAACTGACCTGATGGTACTTGCACAGCAGGCCTTTCATAAGGCTTTTTCTGTTTAAAAGGATTGCACCTGAAGAATAGATGGTTATAGGCCAGATATACCGTAAAAAAACACTTTGAAGTAGTCATCCTGGGTTTCACCTGACCTAAGCCAGGACTACATTTGGAAGAATTACAAAAAATGCTTCCATAGACAGGAGTTTATACAGTTTTATGCTGTCCCACTGAAGCAAAATATTTATTCTCTATGCCACTCTATTGATCTCAGTAATGCAGATACTCGAACTGAAAATGTAATGACAAAAGACCTAATTTCAAAAGTGAAGGGCTGGCATAGAAATAATTTGAGTTATGTTAGAGAGAACTATTTTATGAAACTTTGAAGAATAGCATGGAGGAAGAAATATACTCTCAGTGAATTTAAGAATCCCTTAATTGTTCACCTGAAAATTATACTGTTAAGATATTATCTGATTGTTTGTCATAGTCATTTACAGAGTCCTGTCGGAAATTCTACCATGCAGCATTGGAACAGCTTGATTTCTCAAATGCTCCAGAAGACTCCAGAAAACATATAAATGCCTGGGTAGAAAAAAAGACTGAAGGTGCGTGACTTGCAGAACTCCTAGACAGCCAAAGCTTGCATAACAAGCAATGGACATAGCAAGTTATAGGAAGGATTAAAAAAATGGTTTCCTACAGTTTCTTCCTTTATGGATGGTAGAAAAGATTGTGTATCAGATGTTGATTAGCTACATGTCTATCAGTTTAAAAACTAGTCTTCTTTCAATGTATCCTAAAGGTAAAATCCAGGATCTGCTGGCTCAGGGAATTATTAATTCATTGACCAAACTAGTTTTGGTGAATGCCATCTACTTCAAAGGCAACTGGGAAACCCAATTCTGCAAAGATCGCACAATGGAAAAACCATTTAAAATTAACAAGGTATGAGATTGGGGGGAACAAATCATTAAGATGCACTGCCCTTAACTCAGAAAAAGAAATATAATGAGTCAGGGCTCCCCTAACCAATCTTTACAATTCCATCTCCTTTTTTATTCCCTAATAAACACATTTGACAGGAAGCTTTCTAATAAATATTTAAATTTAACGTGGCCTTTCTGTTGCCTTCATTCTGTCATCTTTCCTGTCTTTTTGGAGTTGGGGGGAGGTAGCTCAGAACTTAATTACCAAACATAAATGCCAATAATGATCTCTGGAAGAAAAAATGTCGATAGTTAAACTGTTGAACATTTGAAGAATTCTACAAAATGCTGGTACACAACATTTTTCAGTGATCAGAAATGCTGGAAATCATTTACCCAGAACATTAGAAACCAAAAAGGCTGGGTTTTTTATGTACAGAATTTCTATCTCATTTTTGCTACAAACTAAAATTGCAAACAGTAGTTGTAAACCTCACATCTCATTAATGTACTAAGGATTTTGTATGCATAAATGTCTGTGTAGGTTTTAATTCTCTTGCTTGTATAAGTAAGGAATAATTGCACTGAAATCATTAGAACTGCACCAGTGAGAAAAGAATTTGGCTCTTATTGACTGTAAAGTGAAAAGATTTTAAATATAATGTCTCTAATCAGAATGAGACTACTCTCCTTTAAAATAGATTTCCTGTATTTGGTCTCCAGGCAATTTAGATCAAAAAATAATTTCTTGTTATTGACTAATCCTGCTTCATGCAAATTCCCACATCTGAAAGCATAATATGTATGCTACTCCAGAGTAGCAATTACCATGGTGACAGACCAGCCCTACTCTTTGCAGAAGATCACCCATAGTTAGGAAGTTGTCTCCAAGTGACATTAACAGGGACAGGCAACTTGACCCTCTTCTAAGAATTCAATTCATTTATAGAACAAGAAACACTGCATGAAAGTGGAGCCCCCCATGGTTGTTTTGTGAGCCTTCTTTCCTAGAATGAATGCTGATACTCCCTCTTAAGCTGTCAAAGGTGCACTTTCTTGTAGAAGGAATTGCATTGTCCACCTTGGTTCATTACTCTGCTAAGCAGTGTGCAGGTTGCTGTGCATGCTTACTCAGTACTCGTGTGGATATTTAAACATCAGTGTTGCACAGGGAATAGAAATGTGAACTTTGCATAAGTGCCAAAACTGGCAGTTACACAGTTGAAAAAATGCCATTTTGATGTGTAAAGTGAAGTACCTTAGGGTATTAGTGCCAAACCTTACTTCCAAGCTTTTTATGAAAAGAGCCTTAAGTTACATTGCACAGGACTTCCTTCCCCCCCCCCTTTATTTGGACAGCTTGGTTCTACTGTTCTTCTCCATCGAATATTAGGCCACAATGAGATCATGAACCAAATCTTCAAAACAGGAGAAATTGGCTTGTGGTGCCTAAGAGTATCTTTCTTTTTATAACTTTTTTTTTTTTTTTGTGTGTGTGTGGTATGTTCCTGAGGTACTGTACATCTCTCAAATCATGCGAGTTGAACACAGCTAGCCCACAACTGTGGAACCCATTTTACAAGATTTAGCGATATCTGCAGACCTCAGTCCTTGCAAGACTTGCTTTTTTATCCTTAGTCTATATTGGATAACCTGTCACTGGTGAACTAAAGAATTGTCAAGAGTTGATTTCAGCCAGGTAGTCCCAAATTCACGGAAGTTTAGGGCTGGAAGGGACCTCATGAAATTGAGTCCAGCCCTCCTGCTCTGGGCAGGAAAGACTGCTAGGTGTCAAATAACCCCTGCATGGTGTGCATCCGGTCTCCTTTTGATGCTTTCCTAAACTTGCTGGCAGCCCTTTAACACATTAACAGTCTTATCAGCATCCTGTCTCTTTTCCATCAGTTTCCTACTGTTAATCTTCTCCAAGAGTTATTTTTTTTTCTCCTGTTCCTTTCCCAAGACCTGGTCAAATCATTAGGAAAAGGTGGTTGCACTGTTCTTTCTCCACTCCCGCTTCTTCCTGCATTGATAGGTGTCTTGATGGACAATACTGGCAACATTCACATATGACCATGTTTGCCATTTTAAACTCAAATATTCAAACTCTTGTTTAGCAATCCTTAAATTTAAGGTGGGGGTTGTTAAGGGCTCTAAACTTTTAGGCCAAATCTTTCCTTGAATGACAGGGAGGGAAAGAATAAATTAGCAAATTGTTTTGATTGTCAGCTCTTTTTTCCCCCTCAAAGAGATCGATAAAAATTACAGACCAGGTTCTTGGGGTAAATCCAATATCTTTTATTAGACCAACTAAAATAGTTGGAAAAATTCTTCTTTGCAAGCTTTCAGGTACGAACGCATCTCAGGCTGAGGAAGGGTGTTTGTACCTGAAAGCTTGCAAAGAAGAATTTTTCCAACTATGAATTGGTCTAATAAAAGATATCAGATTTACCCAAAGAACATTGTCTGTCCATGTCCTTAGACCAACATGGCTACAACCTATACCCATGAAAATTTCAGTTGATTTTTATCAGCAGGGTTGACCAATCCTTAAATCGAAGAGATCTGACTAAAGCCAGATAACCCTACGGACCATGCTGCCTGATTTGCTAACCATGCCGTTTAGTGTCATCTGCTTCAGTGGGGTGAGCTCAGTTCACGCTGAGAAAAGCCACAGTGGCTTGTTGACCCAGATTGCCCCTATCCAATATCAAATTGGATATTGAAGCCCTAAAACTAGGGCAGTTTGGATTCAGGGTGTTGGTTCTGTATGTCATATGAAATCTGAATGTTGAACTACAGTTCAGTTCTGCTTTTTCAATAAGGGCCTGGCATTATTTAAACTAAACAGTTTCTGTTCTGTTTAACTAAAAATATTTTGCTTGACATGGAATTGTAGGCTGAAGACAGTATGGTGAGTCTTGGATGAAATTTGTCTTTGTTTTTAGTTTGGCATGTTTGGTGTATTTAACTTTTTAGGTCCTTTCCTTGGCTTCTGATTCAAGGACCAGGTTATATTGGGAGAAGGGTGGGATTTTTTAATTTGTTCGGGTTTTTTCCTAAAATTGAGCCTGAAAACATGGAGGGGGCTTATATGCAGAGGTGACTTCTTATTGAAATAGCATGCTAATATGAGTTTATGCACCATAAGAAAATGGCAGGAAGTAGTAAAGAATAAAATAGGTAAGTGAAGGGAAAAGTGATTGTATTTGGCATTAATCACCTCAGAACTTGAATTTAGTTGTTCTTATAACAGTAAACATGGCACTATTTTAGACAGTACCTTTATATTTCTGAGACAGCAGGGCTTAAATAAGAAATGGCTAAACATAAGACCTTCCCTGTCTATTTCAAGCAAGTACTAAAACAGGTCAATAAAATTGATTTATTTGTCAAGAATAAACAGCATAGGGACACAGAAGAATGCACACTTGCCTAAATGCAGATTCCACAGAAAGATTTCATATAATCCCATTCTTAATTAATAAAAGTAATGGTTCCCCCCTCCCCTTTTCAAAAGGTCAAAACAATGACCATTTCCCTACAAAATCTTCTTTGTCCAGTTTGTTTTTAAATATCTCAAATGATGTCCCACTTTTCCTTATTGTGTACCAATACACTAGCTTTGTATTACTTATTGACATACTTGTATATTTTTAGAATGAGAGCAAAACAGTGCAGATGATGTTCAGGAAAGCTAAATTCAACATGACATGCATAAGAGACTTCCAAACCAAAATCCTGGAGCTCCCGTATATTGATAATGAGCTGAGTATGATCATTTTGCTTCCTGATAACATTGAAGATGAAACCACTGGCTTGGAAAAGGTAAGACACTTTTACCACATGCTAACACATCTGAAATATCTTGCTAGGGAAGTGAGTTTGGTTAAGTCCTATTGAAACCTCTAATTCAAATCTCAGTCTCCTAAATCACCAGGTTTAGCAAAGGAGGCAGTGGGATATGATTTTTGTGCTTTGCAATGCAAATACCTTGTGTCCTAGTTGAATAAGTCTCAATCTACATGATGTACAGAGTTCCTGAAGAGAGAGAGACACACCTTGACAAGAGGGCCACGTGGATTCAGGCTAAAGATGGAACATGGCAAGCAGTTTTTCAAAGGGGTTTGTGGAGTAACTGCTGTGTTCACAAAAACTATTTAATGTTTGACACATCTTCCTTTCTAAAACTGTTGCAGGTTTAAGAAGGTGCCCCCATAGTACCTAATAGTCTGTCTGAAGGCTGCTTCACATGACAGTCTTAAAGATGCTCTCCATTCCAGAGATACATGCCATACTGTGATAAGGTTGCCAAAGGATGATTAAATAGCAGGGTTGCACTAACATTTGCAACCTCTGCTACATGTTAAGTCAATGGAGTCTTGTCACTAACATGATGCCAAGAAGGGCATTTTTGTGGTTAAGTCAGTGGTTTGTGATTTAGGAGGTCTGGGTTTGATTCCTAGCTTTACCATAGACTTTAACCAAGTGTTGGCTCATCTGTGTCTGAGGTTTTCCATATATAAAATGGGACTATTCTCATAGAGTAAACATTAATAAGATAGTAAGGGTAGGTAGGGGCCAGGGACTGTTATTTAGTATGGATGTGTACCATGAAAACCACAAAGAGGCCTTAATCTCACCTGGACTATCTAAAAACAAATATGAATTTTTGCTTAGCATTACTTTTGGCTTCATAGTTCAGCAGCAACATTTAACTACAGCCCTGGGGAAGATGCTCATCTCTCCTGTGCAGATGCATGAACAGTGGTCACTGTTCACTTCATTTAGTACTCATGGTGTTTCACCCATCTGGGTTTTGTTTTTTGTTTTTTTTCCTCTCCTTAGCTGGAAAGAGAACTTAGCTATGAGAAACTTATGGACTGGATAAATCCAGAAATGATGGACTACACAGAAGTGGAAGTTTCTTTACCCAGATTTAAACTAGAAGAGAATTATGACCTGAAGACTTTGCTGAGCAGCATGGGAATGCCTGATGCATTTGACCCAAGCAAGGCAGACTTATCTGGAATGGCAGGCAACAAAGACCTATATCTGTCACAGGTGGTTCACAAGTCCTTTGTAGAAGTGAATGAAGAAGGCACTGAAGCAGCAGCTGCTACTGCAGCTGTAGTCATGATGCGGTGCGCAATGATTGTACCCCGGTTCACGGCAGATCATCCTTTCCTCTTCCTTATCCGCCACAACAAAACTTCCAACATTCTGTTCTTTGGCAGATTTTGCTCCCCGTAAGAGAGAGATGCAACAGGTACCCCAGTAAAATTATCGCTGCTACTATTTAAGGTCTGCTTTGGCCATGTGCAGCAAGATTCAAATTCATAATGAGCTTTAACTACGTAATGCCTTGACCTCTGTGCCTTGACCACTTTCTACAGCATTCTACGCAAATACAATCATAGCTTTAACTAACAGGTTCTCTTGGGGGACCTAAAATGGTGACTTTTCATGGCTTCCTGGAAGATACCTTTCTTTTTTTTTTTCTCTGTGTGTCTAAGTTCTGAGTACTTTCACCTTTAGCAATATTTGAGTTAGCCAGAACTTCCTTGCCCAGTGCTCACTTCCTTTTTCATAAGAAATTACACTTTCACAGATATGATTCTCATCCATGGGATTGCTAAACAGATTTTACAAGCCACTTGCTAAGATGCAGAAAAAAAATTGTTTGCTTGACTTTTGATTGACCTCCAACTGTTCTTTGCTCTCTTCCCTTCCAGAGTAATTGCTGCATGTTGAATTTTGTCCCCAAAGAACAAAAGGAACTTTGGCGACTAAATAACAGATTTTATTAAATGAACAGTTGTGTCTGCACTTGGGAATGGCTGAGCATTGACTGGGGACAACATCCTGACTCCACTGATATCAATTCTAGAATTCCTTATAAAAGTCAGTGGAGCCAGGATTTCATCCCAAATTTGTGTACCATGTATTGATCTAATTTGGTTTCTTGAATTCTCATAAAATTACTTAATATTTAATATGTGAAAAAAACCTTACAAGATATGTTATCATTATATCACAAGCGCTTTGATATTCCTATCTTTAATATGACAAAGCAGAAAGACAAAAATGTTTAATTAAGCAGTTTGTAAGACTGATACTACCAAAGTCTGCAGCTGAAGTGTCCTTATTAATCCAGCAGTTTGTGATGTTTATATTCCTTGAACCAAAAATAAAGAACTAATACAAAATGATGTGGCATTGTTGCTTCTCTTTAACTAATAAACTGTGCAGCTTTTCATCTACAGCGTGACCCAACCAATTGAATATTATACACTCCCCAAACAGTATGGCACCCACTATCCCTTTGGGAAAGCAAAAGTGAAAATGGTATTAGCAGGAGAGGGACACAGTATGACTGCTGGGATAGGCAAGTCCCTTATGATTATGAGCCAAACAGATTATATTCTGCATGCGAGAACAGAGTCAATAGGGCTGTGTGAAGCTTCAGTCACTGATTCGATTTGGCCCAATTCGGTGGCCGAATCTCTGAATCCGAATCGAATCAGGAGACCATTTAAACTCTTTGAATCGATTCAGAAAGATTTGATGATTTGGACATAGACACAGAGAGAAAAAACATAAATGTTTTTTCTACATAAGTCAAGGTACCAGGTGGCTCTTGAATGCTGTGATGCTGGGGCAGATGGAACATCCCATAAGAGCATGGGGGGGTGGGTCCCCAGCACGCTTGGCAGTAGACCCGGAAGTGGAAACACTTCTGGTCCACTTCCAGGTGCACCGGGAAGTACACTGACCCCCCCCCCCCCCCCCCCCCCCCCCGCCCGGGGGTCCCCCTCGCGTGGGGGGGGGGGGGGGGGCACCTGGAGTCCCCCCATGGCCAATCGCCAAGCTGTTTAAAAAAAAAAAAACCTTTAAAGCTGTGTCTATGGCCGAATCACCGATTCTCTGAATTAGCATCAAATCTTCAGATTTAGATTCGTCTGAATTGAAACGGGACAGAGATCCAAATCAATTAATCAAATCACTCTCCCCAATTCGGGCCGAATCCAAATTGAATATGGTCCATTTCACACACCCCCAGTAGTCGAGGGGACTTTGTCAGCCAGTATTCATTTCAGTTGTGTGGCTTCATTGGGTGTGCTATAGCCATTGAACTTGACTAGCACCCAGTAAGTGGCAGGGAAAATCTAAGCCTTGACAGAAGTCTGGGTGGAGAGAAGAGGTGGCTGGGGGCCTGTATCGTAGGCTTGTAGCTACAAGCTGTGTGTTTAAAGGGTTTTGTTTTACTCCAATAACATTTTTGCAAAATAAAAAATTTAGATGATGCCCAAATTGGCTGTGATGCCAATCTTCATGCAAATTCTTGTTGGGAAGGGAGAGTGGTAGAGGAAAGAAAATAAAGGTTTGGTGCTTTAAAATTAGAGGGGAAAAGGTTAAATGCGGATAGGTAATAGAGGAAGGGTTGGGGGAAACAACAGGATGAAATGAGGATGGCAGGTGGAGTGGGGCTGAGAGATGAATGGGACTTACAGGCTCGAAAATCACTTCCTACTTGGCCAGGGAAGGTCACCTTGAAGAAAGGGGTGACTAGGTATACCAGGAACATGGCTGGGAGATGTACAAGGACCAGGGAGCCCAGTTCAGGGTGCAAGAAGCAATTTTCTGTGTAGTTTAAGCTACATAACTAAGAAGTGAGAGACCCTGATAAATGCTTCTGTATATACATTCCAGGAAGCAAAAGGCACTAAGCATTGGCTTCTAAAATCATCCTAGCTTGATGGGATGTATAAGGTGAACCAGAAATGAGAATAAATGTCATGATTTCTCTCCCCCACCCTTTCCCCCTTCCTCTCCCACCCATCATCCTTCCAGGAGCTGCACGCTATCCATTTGGCTAGGCTGGCTTCCTGGGGCTCCTGCCACTGCATCTGGGAACATGTGCCATCAGGCCAGAGTGGGCTGGGCTGGCTCCGTGCCTCCATGTGGGGCTTCCAGCACTGCAAGCAAGGATCTCCCCTCCCCACCCACATGAGGCTCCCAGTTGGAGTGCTGGGAGCCCCATGGAGGTGGAGGCACAGGAACTGCCCAGTCCAATGGTGCACAACTTCTGAAAGCCCACCTCCCACTGGCTTTCAGGGGTGAGGGGGGCAGCCATGGGCCAGTAATAATTGTTTTTTGGAGAGGTCCCGTGGGTCACACAGAATGATCTGGTGGGCCATAATTTGCCCACCTCTGGTATACAGTCTACAAAATGGACAAAGCAAAGGTAACTGGGTTGTGTTAGGTAAGCATGGTAAGAAGGCATGTATTTATTAGTCCCAGGATAGAAGGCCTTTTTCTTTCTTTCCTTCCTTTTTTCAAATGAAAATGTTCCTTGCTGTCCCTTCCACATAATTTCTGTAATTAAAAAAAATGAAATAAATACCTTAGATTCTAGTACATTCCTGATGCCAGCTGTCCTATTCCCAGCAGTTAATCTGGACTTCTCCACCTGTTCTGCCTTTCTATTTTGAGCTGAAGAAAATGTTGCAGCCCATCAAGAACTTTTCAACAGCTGTGCAAACTGCAAAGTCCTTGAAACTTATATCAGCTGGTACTAAAAAGTTGCTGTTTTTAAAAATTAATTGGACTAGGTCTGTTCTCTCACTGGTGACCACTAACATTACACAGACTAAAGAGCAATGAGGTGTTTTTAAATTTAACATAATATTAGCACTCTAAGATGTCCAAACACCTACATGTGATTTGCAAGATAAATCCAGCGATTTTTAAATAGGAATCCATAATGTCAAAAATATTCTGACCTGTTGTGGTCTTTCTGAGGTTTTTTGCAACAGAAAAAATTGTTCTGTTTATTTTTTCCATAGTCTGATTAAAAAAACCAGGAGTTAGCATTTGAGTCTGAGAGAGGTCAAGAACCACTGCTATAGAGGCATGCTTGTTTTCGTGTGTGCTCATACTCTCTTTCTAGCCCAGTGAATTGCTCATTGTGCTATGCAGAGTTAAACCGCTTCAACAGGAAGGAACTTACTCTTTGCCTCATCCCTTCTTTTCAGAATATCCTATATCTGGCGGTTGGGTTGGGTGCTCTCCTGGGAGGTGGAGGTTGTAAATCCTCGGGCAGAAAAGGACATTGAATGCAAGAGACCTATATCCTGGGTGACTGTTCTAGCTATTGGATATAAAACAAACGCAAAAAAACCATCCAGGGGGTGAAGGCAGACAGCAGCACCTCTGCCAAAAGTGCTTTTTATGTGGCAATTTTTGAGGCACCTAATTGATGCAGTATAAGTAAAACCTAAGTCACACTCAGAGAGTCTTACTGACTTTTGGGGTGTCTATATAAAACATATTTCATGTTCCAGATCAAATTAGCCAAATCAATTCTAAATCATATTGATTGAGCAGAACTCAATCATTCCCAAAACCACATCAACTGAGCAGGCAGAACTCAATTACTCTACACAGCATGTATGGCGCTACAACTGGCGAGCATCCTCCATCCCAGACCTATCACCCTGGCACTTCAGATACTCCCAATTCCACTGGCAGGCATCGTACATGCAGGCCCAAGCCAGGAGGTCTTAGGGTTCGGATGCCCCCAGATACTACATACATCAGGTATCCAGGTTGTAGCTGTATTGGTCTAGAGGTAAAAGGCATCAGAACTCATGGCAGAGGTGGTATCTTTTATTAGCCCAACTAGATATTTGCAAAAAAAGTCTTTATTTGCAAGCTTAAAAGCTTGCTCTACACACACACACACACACACACACACACACACACACATCATTTGCAAATATCTGGTTGGTCTAGCAAAAGGTATCACCTCTGCCACGACTTCTGATCCCAGATTGAATTTTATTAGTAGATGTTAAGAGTTATGAATCCCAAAAGATGACAGCCAGTAGGGAAGCAGGCAAGCATCCTCCATCCCAGACTCTTTAGTCCCCACTTGAGATACTCCCTACTTTTGTTCTTAGCCCACAAGAGATGGAGAAACAGATGTCTGGGTTTGCTGCCAGCACTTTCTCCTGATTGCTTGTCTTGAAATGAAGAAATTTTTCAACTTTGATGACGCACTTCTCACTCACAGCCCAGTTATAATGAGCAATAGAAGGTCAACAAGGCGACTTGTTTGCATACTTATTCGCATGCATATTTGCACACGCAGGCAGGCCAAGTTCTTCGGGTAGACGTGATATCTCCGATTAGACCAACTGAGTAGTTGTGGGGGGAGAAAAGTTCTTTGCAAGCTTTTGAGCAGCCACCCTTCTTCCGACGTGGGAGGCTCCCCTGCTGTTCCGACATCTCCCAGGAAATATGTGCATACATCATTTTTCAGCACAGCTGATGTGGGCGATGCTGAAATGCATAGATCATGCTGAGCTTCCACTAGATCTCTTCGTACTTCAGGACCTGGCGATGGGGCTGGCAGGCTTCTTAGATCTCCAGCGGTTCCCGTCCTGGCCGGGCTCCCCCCGGGCCCTGGGGGACGAGCAGAGTCCCGCCCTGCCCGCCCGGCAGTCTCCGCCCGCCTCGCCTCACCTCACCCCGGAGGAGGCACCCCCCCCCCCCGCCCCGCCGCCCCCCCCCCGCCTCGCCTCACCTCACCCCGGAGGAGGCAGCCGCCAGGTAAGGAGGGACGCAGCGCGGGGCCCTCGCCGGGAGCGGGGTCGGGGGAGTGCGGTCTCCTGAGTCACCGAGGAGGGATGGTGGGGGAAGGGGGAAGCCCTAGCCCTAGCCCTAGCCCTAGCCCTGCCTGGCTGCTTTCCGGAAAAAGAGAAACTGAAAGCAGAAGCCCCGGGTGTCCCCAAGCCCCTGGGGAAAGGGGGAGGAAGAAGCTGAAGCTGCCTTGGCTCCCCTCCCCATCCCTTCCCCTCACAGGCTCCCTCCTGAGCCCTCTGCACGCGTCAGCTGCCCGGGGAGAGCAACGCCTGGGCCTGAAGTCTGCCCCTTATTCCCGGATCCTTGCCCGGAGTTCACTCTGCACACCACCTCCGCCTGGTAGTGGTGAGTTGCGTTGGGCTGGGTTCAAGGTGGGCAGGGCCAGAGGTGCCTCTTTCTTTCCTAGATGAAGAGAAGAGGGGCCAGGGCGCACCCAGTACTGGGGGGAGACGCTGGGCAAGCTAGCAGGCACAATATTCCCTTTCAAAAATGTGTCTGGCCTCTATTCCAACAGCAGAGTGAGTGCATGAAAAGGCATTTTAAAGACCTCTTGCTCCTGTATTCCCTGCGCTGGTGGGGCCAGAGCTCTTCTCCTCGGCTTTCTTCCAAGGCCTTGCTTGAGGGCGTAGCATTTGTGCTGTAGCAACCACCTTAAAACAGGGCATTTTATGATGCTCATCATTTGTCATTTCTAAAAACACGCAGTGGTTTCACTTTGAACCAGTGTTTTTGTCTGCGGGTTTTAAGCTGCTGTACAAGGAAGTTCCATTTACTATCTATTTGAGCTGATTGAAATTGAGAAGACTCCATGTATTTTGCTGATATTTTCATGGAAAAGGGGATATTTATATTCATTTCCCCCCTCTGCAGTTTTGGACGAGCTCCACTGTCCCCCAGTGTTAGAGGTCTGGCACCAAAAGTGGTGCAAAAATCATTCTTTTCATTTGCATTCTGTTTTTCTTCATGCAGTTTCTTGATCTTTTAAAAAAGAGTATTTTACATGATCAATGAATACCTATACCGTTTTTTTGCTTTAAATGCTTTTTTTGGGCATACAATTAGAAAAAGGCGAATTGCAAAAACTGAGTACATACCTTTAAAAACAATGTGTTCACCTGTAATCAAAGGAGATAATGATATATTATACAATTCATGCAGAATTGCTTTGTACAGGATGGCATGGATATATTATTAAGATTAGAGATGAGAAAACAAAACTGTCCATTGTCTGTCTCTTGACTGTAAACTTAGCATAATACAACTTTTGTCTTCATTCTGGCTAGTCCTTCGCCTTAATCTATTTAAAATTTAGAGGTAGGGGTCTAAGGAAATGCATTACTAAGGTTAACGTAATAAGGATATATAGCAGACAATCTATTTGCAGCTGTATCTCTTTAACAGTAAATACTGGTTAATTTGTAAATTAGTCTTTATCACTAGTTAATTTTCAACTTCCATATATTTTGCGTGCCATATTGAGAAACGGTAAGGAATTATTTAGAATTTTCTAATATAATTTTCTCCATTATGAATGCAAATTGCACTCACTCTGGCTTTGTGTAAGAAAATGGTATGATATACAGATAAGTGCCTAATATACATGTTCTTACTACCAAAATTCAGAGTGCTTGCTACAGAAATTGCATGATTGTGATGGAGTAAATAGTCAATGATTTCTGCTTTGCATTGCACTCATCACCAACATAGAAGCTAATTCTGCAAAATGGAATAGTCGATTCTTTGTCTCATTAAGCCAAGAAAAGCTGAAAATGAATGATCACACTTAAAAAGATGATGAATTAACCAAAGTGTTTTCTGTACAAGTCAGTAGGACTATGGCAGGAATTCAGTGCGCTTAAGATCATAGTGACAAGTTATCCCAATGATTAATTAACCAGCACACACTGCATTTATGTGAATTAGTTAATTTCTGAGGGAAATAATTGAAGCTAATATTCCTGATATTTATGGAGTCTAAATGCCCATTTATTACTCTGTTTTGGGTTGAGGAGTGCAGGGATTTAGGTTTCTGAAAAAATTAGTTCCTTGAGTTCTTATTGAGTTCTAGTTTTTTTGTATGTCTTGAGTTCTTATGACACTTGTTTCATTTTTCAGCTTGTAACCATGGAGAAGCTAAGGAATGCAAACACCTGTTTTGCACTTGATCTACTTAAAAAGTTTAATGAAACCAATCCAACAGGAAACATCTTCTTCTCTCCCATCAGTATTTCTGCTGCACTGGCCATGATTCTGTTAGGGGCCAAGGGTAACACAAAGACACAGATGTTGAAGGTCAGCTAAAAGTTTCTGTCTCTCTTATACTACATATTTTCATACATTAAAAATCAAAAGTTTCAAACCTAAAATATTCTATTATCTTTCATTATCATTCTGATTATCACTTAAGTCTATCATTGATTAATTTAATTTTCTATTCAGTTTGCTCAGAACTCATCTTTTGTTAGTTTTCATGTCTCCTGATGCAGAGCTGCCATGTTTGTAACATGTGCTTAGTAATATTGTGCACACTGCAACCATATAAAAATCCCCAACCAACAAACCATGCTTTCAGTTTCAAGCGATAGCTAATGATCATACATAATAGCATCTTGGCATGAGGCCATATATTTTTTTTTTTTTTTTTTAAACAATGTGAATACCATATCCCAAAGGATATGTAGAAGAAAAGCCTAATTGGAATAAAATTCAAAATCAAGCCACTGTGAAGCATGACCTGAGATTAGTCACAAATTACATTCAGTGCATACAGTTCCAGGCAAGATTTTTTTTTTTTTTAAAGCAGGTGCTCTAAGTTAACCTTCTAAGCATTTAGAATTGCAAAAACAGCTCTGGTTTGGAAAGCTTTCCTATTTATGTTACCTTTTAACCGTGGGCTTAATCCCTAATATTTGAGCACGTGCTTAGCTTTAAGCATCACTGCATTGATAGCCTAAATATATTTCTTGGGGTCCCTGCTCTATGTTAAATATAATATGCAATTAACTGATCAATTGCACAATCATTTTAGACTGGCCACGTGATTAAAAATGACTATTCAGCTCTAAAAAGAGCCACCAGCTATAAAGTTACTGCTTAAAAATGAGTAACAACTCTATAGCTGGTTTCTATCCAGCTTTAATTTGAATTTAAGAGTGCCTGTATGCTGTACCTTCTGGGACTGATCCAGACTCACTAGAGTCAATGGAAAGTCTACTACTGAATTGATAAGCTCTGAGGTACCATGGCTCAATCCTCAAAAATATTAAGAAACATAAAGTTTCAGTAGGAAGTAGGTAGCTATGTACCTTTGAGGATCTGGGCTCATGTGTTTGTTTTGAACACCGGCCTGTAAGCCATATTGTATAAAAGAGATGCTTTATTCAAACCTGGTTTTCTTGCTGTGGGTTATTGGTATTTATTTTACCCAGAGCTTTTTGCTTAAGAGGAATTCAGCCATTAATGCTTTTCTGTTTGATTAAGAAGTTTCCCACAGCTGTGAAAGGGTGTGTATGAATTCCTTTTGTTACAGTCACAGTATATTTCTTTAAAAAAATACCTTTTACCTTAAGCTGCTTTACACTATTAAACACTGCTGAGTTTTCCACTGGTACAATAAAAGTAATCTGTCACCTCGTATATGACCTGAACTTTGTACAGAAGTTGGCTGACACCCATTCCATCCCATAATTAAAAGCCCAACCCAGAAATAGCATTCTTCTTCTTCTTCAAAAAAATATATGCAAACTCATGTACAACTTTCAACATGCTAATCAATTTGCAATAGTCTGTGTTCCAGTTCAGAGTACATCATGGGGATAGTGATTTGGGGAAGAAAGATTACCACAGTTGCATGTATAAGGGTATTTTATTTTTGTAGTCATGGACTCCTTTCAAGTGCCTCAGGACTGCAGCTCTTCAAGTTTCTCTCTACAGCGCTGTGCAAAGTGCTGCCCATGGCACCTTAAATTTTTTTCTGTTGGTTTCCTACTGAACTGAGGATTCTAAAATGCGTTCTCTACGTGGAGTTGTAGTTAATACAGCTTTACCCAGAAGTTCCTGTATTCATTGAAGGTCTTTATTTCACTTTTAACTTCTGTGCTAATAGGATCAGATCAGTCTTACTATAATGCACATATTCTTTGTTGGGTAATTTTGTCTGTCAGAATCATATAAGTATGCCCATAAAGAGAAACTATGTTAATGTATTTGTTTTTTTAATGCATTATGAAACTAACTATAATATAGGGAATCATTTACATTATCATTAATTGGAAATAAAGATAGCTGTCCTAAATCAGGGCTCAGCAACATATTTGGCTGGAGTGCCAAAAACGCCCCAATGTCAACCCATGCCTCAACTTGGTGTGCCAGAGGCAGATGGCAGGGGAGCCGCGAGGAGCCTGATCCTTATTGCTGGTAGCTGGTGCACATGTGTCTTTGGACAGATGGTGGGGAAGGGGCCAGGGTCGCACTGCTTTGGCTTCTTCCCCACCATGCACCCTGAGGTGTGTGTGCAGCCGCTGCTGCCACAGAGCCAGTGCCGGGGCTCTGGTTCCCAGTGCGTGTTGGCTGTGTCAGGCAGCCAGGAGACTCCAAACAGATGCATTGGGCTCCCCAGCCAGGTTCTGTGGTGGCGGCAGCTGCACATGCCTGGGAAGGGGCCTGGGGTAGCACAACCCCAGCCACTCCCCTGCCTACCCCCACCAGACCCTCCCACGGCACACGTGCAACTGTCACTGTCATGGAGCCCAGCCATTAGGGCTGTGCAAAGCTTTGAATTGTGATTTGGATTCGGAGATGATTTGGAGGCTAAATCCAAATCGAATCGCTAGAAGCTTTAGGCTTTCCGAATCGATTCGGAAAAGTTTCGGTGATTCGGCCATAGGGTATAGTGGGGAATCAATGAAATATCTATAACTTTGTTGCTTTTTGGCTGATTCTGATGAAACATGCAGGGGTGGTAGCCGCTGCTGAGGGCATGAAGCTTGCTACGTTTCAAGGTGATAGGTGCATGGATTTCTGGGAAACTGCACCTCAAAAGTTCTGAAAAAGAAACTCTTGTCACGTGTGTGTGTTAAGCCACAATGGGGTGAAAACTGCAGGGGTTGTAGCTCTTGCTGAGGCCACAAAGCCTGCCAAGTGTCAAGGAGATAGGTGTAGGGGTTTCTGAGAAACTACACTTTAAATTTCTGACAAGCAAAACTCATGACATAAGCAACAGTGTGTGTGTGTTAAGGCACAGGCGCATGAAAACTGCAGTGGTGGTAGCCCCTGCTGAGGCCACAAAGCCTGCCAGCTGTCAAGGAGATGGGTGCAGGGGGAGTCTGGGTTCTGGGGCCCTGCACCTCTGGCCACAGGCAGGCAAAACTCATGACATTGGTGCTTGTGGGACTCTGTATGTATTCAGGTGCACCCTTCCTGGTGCCGGAGCCTCTGCACAACATGGCAGCGTGCTCCCACTGTGGCTTAACATACACACAGGACATGAGTTTTGGTTTCAGGATTTTGAGGTGCAGTTTCCCAGAAACCCCTGCACCTATCACCTTCAAACTTGGCAAGCATCATGCCATCAGCAGAGGCTACCACCCTGCAAGTTTCATCCGAATCAGCCAAAAACAACAAAGTTATAGATATTTCATTGATTCCCCATTATACCCTATGGCCAAATCTCTGAATCTCTCCGAATCAGCTCCAAATCTTTTCCGAATCGATTTGGCCGAATCGAATAGGAAAAGCGATTCAAGTCTCCGAATCCAAATTGGCCAAACCCAACTCAAATAGTTGCCTATTTGCACAGGCCTACCAGCCATGGCTCCCGAGCCTAGTTTGAACCCAGTGCTGCTGCTTTGCAGCCTTCTGGCTGCCTGCCACAGCCAACCCAGGTTTTGGACAGCTGCAGCTGAGAGGCTGCAAAGAGCTGCATCTGGGTCCAGAGCCCTAGTATCAGCTCTCTGGCAGTAGCAGCTGTATATGCACCTCAGGGTGCACAGCAGGGGAGGAGCCAAGGTGCTGTCCCTGGCCTCTTCCCGGTCATCCACCCCGAAGCATGCATGCAGCTGCCACTGCAATGGAGCCCAGCTGAGGTTCCAGAGCCTGGTGCAGCTATTTGCAGCCTCCTGGATGCCTGCTACAGCCAGCCCACGCTCTGTAGAAGGGCTTGCCACCTCCCCACCACCTGCTGCAAACAACTCAGGTTTTGTGGCTGGATGCAGCTGCTCATCACCTGAGCCAGCTGTGGCATGCCAAGCAAAATGGCATTGCATGCCATGGTCTGGCACGCATGCCAGGGGTTGCCAACCCCTGCCCTAAATCATCTTACATACATGCTTAAACAAGGTCTGAGAGAATAGTTAAGTCCTGTTGCTGAAGATCAACAACTTGGGCTTTTTTGGACCAAAGGGAAAAGTAAATTTGAGAGCTAAGGATCCTTTTCCCTGAAAGATCCCCTTTCCAAACTTTTTATTTAGGAATTAATAACTAGTATCTTAGCTGGATAAGCTGCCAAGCAGAAGTTAATGCAGTTAAAGCCCAATACACTAAAACTGTAGTCTCCACCTTTTTAGACTCCAGGTACCCCTTGGAAAATGACAGCTCTTAGCTTTCAGTCATTTTTTGACTATGGAAAAGTAATAGAGCAGTTCTTCTGTTGCAAAAAAACTCAGAGCACAACAGGGCAGAATGTTTTTTGATGCTATGAGTTGAAGTCTTTGGGTGTGTTCAGATGAGCACTGCACATGCAGGTGCTCCCCATGCTGCTAATTTGCAGTGCTGGGGCAGGTTGGGGAGGGTTTGAAACCAGGAGATCCTGGTGTTAAGTAAACTTGTGCCTAAAAAAAGTGGGCTGGCGCATGTGGTGGCAGAATGTACCGCCTGAAACCAGAATCTGGCTGTTCAGGCTTCCTGCTGCTGGATCTCTGTGGCTGCAGCCCCCAGGACACCAGGTAAGGCTGCTGGGGCCAGCTCTCTCCCCTACTCCACCCCTGGGCAATGTGCCACCCGCCAGAGCGTGTGTGGATGGCCATTCTCTGGGGACCGGCATCAGTGGCACATATTGTGCTGCTGCTTTTCATGCCTGGAGAAATGCATGTTCCTGCTCATGGGGACGTGCCCTCTGGGTTTATCTTGTGAATCATGCATAGGTGTTTGTATACCTAACTGCTAATATTGTGCAGGCCCTTTCAAAGATTCTCACTGCACCCTGCTATGGCAGCCAGCTTGAAAAACACTGCATTAAAACCAACAGCTTCAATTACACCCAAAATAAAGTTCCCAGTGCAAGTGACTGAGCATGAGTGATATATGTTAACATAATCCATGCATTCTGTCTTAGTTGAAGTTTTCCAGGACCTTATGTCTAAATGCAATATTCTTTTTTATTTCCCTGCCTGAACCTAGAAGCCTGATCATTCAAACACATATCCACAGACATACCATACAACTGATATACATTGGCCAGTCCATTTCTTTTAATCCAGGCACTTCATTATGATGATGCTGAAGACCTTCATTCAAGATTTCAGACCCTGACTTCTGATGTTAACAGGCATGGATCTCCCTATCTGTTGAAGCTCGCCAATCGTCTGTACGGAGAGAAGACCTACATTTTTTTGCCAGTAAGTTCACGATGTCTAGGCTATGTTTGGGCCTTTGCACAGAAATGAATTTCACCCAATTTAGAAAGACTAATACCAAACCATCTGTAATAGGCGACCAGGTCAGGTTTTCATGTGATGGGAGCACTGAGATTAGTGTTGCTGACTTGTAGATATAAGAAACATAAATCATAAACTAGCAGGTATATTCCCTAGCACTAAGACAAGAGAGAATCTACTAGAGCTACAGCTTCCCTGAGTTACAGAGATACCTTTATGATTTTATTATCATTGTGCAATGAAAGTTATTCCCTGTTGCTCCATATTTTAGGACTTCTTGGCTAACACTCAGAAATTTTATGGAGCCAGTTTGGCTATGGTTGATTTTCTCCATGCTTCTGATGAAGCACAGAAGCATATTAACCAGTGGGTAGAAGAACAGACTGAAGGTAAGATATTTTGATTAGTTAAATAAATGTTGTCTTTCCATGGCTATGAAATTGGAATGTTTTCGTTTTCTGCTGCCATTACAACAGTCCCATTTTGTCAGAGAATATCCAATAATAAATATGTTCAATAAAATCAAAGGCTATATTGGAAGGATATTTACAATATAGTAACATCCATCCCAAGCTATCCATAACTATCTAATGCTCTACATTAATGCTACTGATTGCCTAAACATGGATTTAGGAACTTAAGTTTAAGCTTCTGGTTTGGAAATGTCTAAATCATATACTTCTAAAAGCTACGTTCTTGAATGTTTTTGAATGCCAGACTTTGGGTTCCTTAAGGAAGCCTGACTTTCAGATGATCTCCATTTAGCACTTTCTGAAATTCAGCTTTCTTTAGGATGTCTTGAATTGGGCACCCAAAAAGCAGAGAACCACAACTTGCTATATTATAGTATGGTTGGCGTGTTGTTGTAGCCTTAATGTGAGAGAGGGAAAGAAACCTTGTTTCTCACAAATTGCCAGTCACTTTTGAAATTTAAGATAAAGTATTATACCAGGGTTTAAATTATTGTGCATACAGAATTAAAATAATGTGTCCTATAACATTGTACAGTACGAGAGAGAGAATGATGCTGAAATACACTGCATTTTTATGGGGGGAGGGAAAGCTGGTATATTTTCTTAAATAAGGTAGTGGAGGCTTTTAGTATTTTTATAAAATTGGTTGCTAAATAAATATTTTTAATGTGGAAAAATGCATTGTAAAATTTGAAATTATTTTTTTTCCTTTGAAGGTAAAATCCCCAACCTGTTGTCTGAAGGCTCACTTAATAACACAACCAGACTGGTGCTGGTGAATGCCATTTATTTCAAAGGCAAATGGGGAGAAAAATTTGAAGAACAGAACACCAAAGAAATGCCATTTCACTTAAATAAGGTATTGTATATACCTCTGCAACCTTCTTGCATATGGTATAGCTTTAAAGGGGAAGTTGTGAAGTAATTTGTCTCCCAAATTAAAGTTTTATTTAAAAAAAATAAAAAAATAAAGGCAATATCAATAGACATTTTCATGGTTTTTTTCTTTAAACTTAATTTAATGCAGCTTTTTGTTTAATTATCAAGATTTTCATACAAGCAATAGGTTAGATTCTTTGTTCCCTCATTCCTACATTTGTGCCAGAATTGAAGAATGGAAAAAAATGGGTCATTAACAGACTTCTGCTCCATTAGTTTTCCCTTTGTATTGTCCCTCAAACCATTTAAACCAACACTGCTCTGTACTGTGCTAAATTTATAGTGCCTCCTTCCGAGCGTTTATACCACCTGAGCATAGTAAGGCTACAGGGAATTTTAGCTAAGCTCCTGTTATATAATGGCACTCTGAAAAGTTATCAGTTAGCTTTATACTGAGTGAGAATGTATTTCATGGACTTTTTCTGCACCTTTCTCATCTATTTTGCAACTGGAGAACTGCCATGAAGAATCTGTCCTAGTTCATTTTGTCAAAGCAGTATACTAAGGCTCCTACCACACGTTACATATATTATGCAATTAACTAGTAAATGATGCAATACATTTAGACCGGCCACATTTGCAAAGTAATTATCACACCATAAAAATGTCCATCCAGCTATATAAAGAGCCAGCCTGTCATAAAGTTGGGGCTTGACAACTTTATAGCTGGTTTCTATCCAGCTTTAATTTGAACATGTAGCAGGGCCCTGGAAAAGCCCACCTCCAGTCCAGCTTGGGCTGGATGGGTTCAGCCGTGTGCCTGTAAAGGTGGAGGGGGTTTCCTTGTGCCCATGCTAGGGCTGACAGCTGAGAGATGTGCCTGTGACACTACCAACACTTCTTCTAGCCCCTCACCCCCACTTGTGGCACAGGAGCAGCTTCCAGCTGGTGGTAAGCTACACCAGGGCCAGACAGCTGGAAGCTTTGTCTGTCCTGCTGCCAATTTTCTTCACCACTCGGTCTCCACCCCTTCCCCCCCACTTCTCAGTTGTAGCTTGGGCAAAGATGGAAGCCACTTGACCCCTGCACAGCTTTCCACCAGCTGCAAGCTGCACCCACGCCACAACCAGGGAGCTGAGGGTTGGAGGAAGCTTCCATCTACCCAGCCCCAGCACAGCTCTTTGCTGCCTGGCCCCAGTGTGAGCACAGACACAGCCCCAAGCATAAGCAAAACCGGGCTGGATTCAGCCCATGAGTCCCATGTTGCCAATCTCTAATCAGCAAGGTTGTTAATATCACGTATGTGAAGAGTATCTCATTTTAAACTTGGCAGTTCCCTGTCAGTATCTTAAACTGAGTATTTTTTGTGTTTGTTTTTCCTTTTTTTCTGTATTTCTTAAACTGCCCAGAATGAAACAAAGACAGTGAAGATGATGTATCAGAAAAAGAAATTTCCATTTGGGTATATCCGTGAACTGGAGTGTCGTGTGTTAGAACTTCCCTATGATGGAGACGAACTTAGCATGATCATCTTGTTACCTGATGAAATTAAAGATGATACCACTGGACTACAACAGGTGATTTGTACAAGCCAATCTCAGATTGCAATGTTATATCTATTTTATACTTTTATCTACTTATTACGATAGCATAACAAACAGTAATTAATAATGAATGGGGAAAACCCCTAACTATAATTGTCCTAGGAAAATCCTCACAAGCTTGCCAAGGATTTTGAGCCAGGGTTCAGCTTTAAATATGGTGTTGGAGGAATTTGACAATTGCTCTTACGTAGCTATTTACAGGAGGCTTAGCCTAGGGTTGAGGGATTATTTGGAGCTAAAGGGAGGATGTAAAAAATTCTATACTGATTTCTTCTGTACTGGCAGTGTTAGGGGTGAGTGTCTGGATCCCAAAGGGGCCCACAGGCAGCCAGCATTAAAGTCCTAGAAGCTTTCACATTGCTGAAGTGCTGCATAAAAACACTTTTCAACTAATGATCAACCAGAGCAGGTCACCATCCTGATCTTGCAGTCCTTACTCATGTGGAGTGAGATGTGCAGAACTACAGCTGAGGGACTGTAACAAAAATGTTGCATATGGCAGTTGACTTGAATTCTTTTATTAATATTAGACTTTACCTTCCAGTAGTTCTGAAAACCTTATTTTCTCTGCTTTTAAACAAGAAAGATTGTGGTTCTTCTCTGGTCTCCTTGATCATTTATAATTGTTGTTATTGGTGCATACTTTTTCAGGGTCTGACTTTTATTACCTTAGTGTCACTTTGGAATAACTTCACTGCATTTAATACAATTACTAAGACAATAGAAATCAGTATGTGCACATTACTGTTCTTATATTGATACTTTGTGTATCTGTACTTACAATGTGCTTTCAATAAAGCACTTCAGGAGCTTTTGGAAATGGGATATTTTTTGCTGGTGATATATGATGATTCCTGCATTTGTAATTCCAGCTAGAGAAGCAGCTCACCTTTGAAAAGCTTTGTGAATGGACAAAACTACAAAATATGCAGCCCATTGATGTTCATGTGCATCTGCCTAAATTTAAGATGGAAGACAGCTATGACCTTAAATCCGCTTTATCAGGTCTGGGCTTTCTGGATATATTTGATAGTGGCAAGGCTGACTTGTCTGGAATGTCAGGTGCACGAGACCTCTTTCTGTCTAAAATTGTTCACAAGTCTTTTGTGGAAGTGAATGAAGAAGGCACAGAAGCTGCAGCTGCCACAGCTGGCATAATTGCAAACTGCATGTTTATGGAAGAGCATTTCACAGCTGACCATCCTTTCCTTTTCTTCATCTGGCATAACCCAACGCAAAGCATACTTTTCTTTGGCAGGTATGCTTCCCCATAACAGAAAAACATAGTTTACTATCTGATTAATTTCTACTGAAACCAACAGAGATTTTTGCCTTTGAATTGAAGAGAAAAGAATTTAGGTCCAAAGGTTGAAATCTGAGGCTCATGTGTTTGTGTCTTTAACAATTTTAATTTAAATTCTGCATTTCATGATAAAATGATTACCCAATAATTGATTTATTTTTCCTTGTTGGGAACCGTTAGTTACTTGATACCTTTTAGCCCTAGACTTGTTTGTATTTCATGAAATCTCTTACATGGCCCCTCAAGTCGCTGACAAAAAAATAGTTAATTTTCTATTATTAGAGAAGAATTCTATTTATTGAAGAAAAGTAACTGTCAGGACCCTGACACATTCATTTAAAGGTGCTATGGGATCTGAACCTGGATCCCAAAAATTGCACCTCCTGCCATGCCTCCTTTCTGCTTACCAATGCAGGGGGAATCCAGAATCATAATCAATTGAAAGAGCCTACTGTGACCCAGGGGTGCCGTGGAGCCAGAGCTGATAATCATTGAATTGCTGGCTGCAGTTCAGGGACAGCACTGGAACTGGCTTACGGTATGCCATGTGTTTAATTTAAGGTGCCATACAAACCAGAAATTAAAATTTTCTATATTATACATGGAATATTGTTATGGCTTGTTTATTTTTGGTGTCTTAACTTGGGTGTACATGTAGCACCTTTGCCACTTATGCGAGTATGATGACCTGTCTACATGTTACATTTATGCTGCAATTAAAGTGTTAATCGCAGCATATCTAGGGAATAAATATGATATCCCTAATTACTTGGGCCTGCAGCTGGCAGGAATCTCAGCCCCAGTTGTGCCCCATGCAGTAGTGACCTGGCTTTGAAGCTTTTTGGACATAGAGAATTCTCTCTCTCCAGAGTAAAATATTGGAGCAATTTTTTTTTGTATTCAGTCCCTAAGCTCTTTGCCGATTATGATCTAGGTGCCATATATAGAATGCTTTGGTTTGAAAAGCAGCACCTAGACTGGCATTGTTCCCTGTTCTTGTGATTTTATTATTTTTTTTTTTTTTAAATACTTTGTTTCCTTCATATATCTGGGATCCAGAGCACATGAATACACCAGGATCTCAGCTTTCTTTAAACAGTTTCACTTCCTGCAAGCTTCAGAACACAAATTCTAAAGGTTCCAACAAAGGTTCAAAAGCCAAATGTAGTTTTTTAAAGCCTTATAATTTTTTTGAGGCTATCCTGTATTAGGGGATCTACCTTCTTCACAATTCAGCGTTTTTCACAGAAACCACGAAAAAAAGTGGCTTCTATGAACCCTGTGAAAATGGCAATCTTGCCATAACAACCAGAGTACAAAGGAAGGCATGGCAATCCCTGCAGCCAGAGCACGTGGTTTCACTGAGAGAGCTAGCGATAGGCTGAGCCAGTGACAGTCTCAGTAAAGGCTTCCGTCAGGGAAGTGAGAGGATTGCAGTGCCATCTTTCAAACAACCAGAGGCAGTGCAGGCAATGATGTCTGAAGATGATGAGTAAAAGGAACTTCCTTAAAGCTAAGAACATTTCACCTATGGATCATATAAGGCATACCCTGCAGGAACCTTGCATGCAGATGCTGGGAAATTGCTCTGTTCATCATGCAATGTGACTCTGAATGGGGTGAGGAAAAACAGCATTTATCACCACATAAAGTCCAAATTGCACGTGGAGCACAAGGCTGTTGCAGGGGCTGAAGGAAAGACCAAAAAACAAATGACCGTATTGTCAATGTTTAAAAGGGTTATGAAAGCAGTGTGACAAGGAGAGGGTACATTATAGCCATGAGCATCCCTCTGCATAAAACTGACAGCCCTAAATTAAGGGGGAACTTGAAGAAAAACATGCCAAATGGTGAATGTTTTCCATGTGTGGACAGTCTTTGCCAGGACACTCTACCTGCCATGATTGCTTCGCATATAGTCTACAAAGCTGCACTGGCAGAATATAAATTCATCTTAATTGTAGCTGATGAAGCTGCAGACCCTCAAAATAACTTATGTCCGGCACATTTTATTTGTACCTGGGATCTGGACAGACCATGAACTTCCTGTTTTTCAAGCACAGCAAGTTCACCTTGTGCCTGTCAATTTTTCTACTGTGGTACAAGCTGTAGTGAAAGCTGTTGTAAACTATAGCTTAGATTTTAACAAGATCTCAGCATTTCAGTCTGGCAATGTCATATGTATGTGCAAAGCTTTCTCCGATGTGCTCCAATGCAATTCATGTCACTTACAATATGCATGTCCTGGGTTTAGTAAGTGACATTTAGCGCACATGGTTTCCTGATGTGGATAGCTTGGTTTCCTCCATTAGAAAGCCTTCAAACATTGTCCAGGCTATAAGCTCCAGTACAGGGAGTCCATTGCCAATCAAATCTACATGCAACTGTGCCATTTCCACCAGAGCCAGTGCTTACAAGGTAAAATTTGTTGTGTAATGCAGTTTGTTACCACTCCAAGAATATGAAGTACTACCAGCAATTTGTGAGCATTGAGCTGGAAATCACGCCAGACACACAGCATACGCTTAAACTACACGATCAGAAAGAGAAACATTGAAAATCAAGTGATGTTTGTGGCTGAAAATGCAGTCTGGTTAATGGAGCTTCTGATGTGCTTTCAAGGCCGGCAGGCTGTAATCCACCATGCACACAATAAGCCGATGAATCCGATGAGTTGGGTCCAAGACGTGGCATCACAACAGCTTTCAAACTGTCAACATTGAAAACCAGTGGAGACAAGAACTGTTCCAGGCAGTAGCTATGAAGTTGAATCAATACTACAAGTACAATCCGTTACATCCACCATGGTTTAAACAACTGTTTGCCTCCTTTTTTAGTGCTGTTCACATTTTGTGCTCTTCACTTAACCAGGTGTCTGTTGTGAGCTAGTGAAATCAATCCCTGGATGGGGGAAGAGCATGCCAACAAATGTACGCTTATGTGAACTTTGTCGAAGAGTGGCAAATGCCCATGACTGTGGGGGGTTTTTAGCTTGTTTGTGACTGGTTTCCACATCTCTACAGCTTAACAAGATATAGTGCCTTACCATTCTAACCATTCAGGGGATGCAGAACATGCAATCTCAACATATGGACAAGTGTTCACACTGCAGAGACAGGATGTCAGCTGCAACTGCTGGTGGATACTGCATGCTAGCAGTTAACAAGTAACATGATGACTTTTCTATCAAGGTTAGCATTATTTAGTATGACGTGGGTCAGCACTGCACCCAAAATACTTGGGTTTGGGGAAAAGGGCTGCTGTGTAACATTTGGTATTCAGATGTATTAAACTGCAGAGTTAATGCAGAATTAATTTTATTCATAGAAATGTTAATCGCTTCATTGTGAGATCTTAACAATCATGGCACTGAGCACCTTTTAGCTCCTTTTTTTCCACAGATTCCAAATGTATTTAAGATTTTCAGGGGTGTAGGTTTTAATATTTTCAAACATTTGACTACTACCAATATCGCTTGTGATTAAATATACATTTTCTAAAATTGCTTCCTAAACTTGTAGAACGTCAATAAATAAAGTTAAGGTTATATTAGTTTCAATTCATATTGTTCATAGATTTATTTTCATAAGATATTTCCACGTAGATTTAATTGATTGCTTAGATTAATGAATTAGTTGTTTCAGCTGGATTTCTGTGCAAGTATGGTTTTGGCCCCTTGGCCAATCAGCAGTGAGGGGTAGGACTGCCAATCAGCAGGGGCAGAGAAGGGGCAACACAAAGAGAGCACAAAAATGGTGTGGGTCTCCTCAAGCAGCCTGCAATTTTTCCCTCATCGCAGCTGGAATTAAGTAGATCTCTACTTATTTGAGGTCTGGCGTGTTTTGAATGCTTTGGGTCAGCCATGTTTCAGAGAGCAATCTCCACAGAAATTAGTGGAGAAGCAGAAATATTGGCCTCATATTGGGCAGACCCAGGAATTAAGAGAGGTAGACATTGAGAGATTAAACAAGGTGCATTGAAAATTGGAAAGAAGATTCAAACATTTAAAAGATCAGGTAGGTAAAAGATCAGGCAGGCCCTTTTCCATTGAAAAGGAAATCTGTTCAACAAAAGGCTTTGGAAATATAACTTTAATTTGGAGATATTGATATTTCATTAGACCTTATACTAAACTATAGATTTACTACATTATATTCATTCTGTATGAGAGAGGTTCAGAAATACAACAGGACATGAAACCATTTAGTTTTGGGTAAACTATACTGTCCTCTGGTGGTCACCATGTTTTATTCAAGTTTATTCAAAATGTTACAAAAGGGAATGTACAGTGTGGTTAGCATGTGTGTTTAACGAGTAAAAGCAACTGGACCTAGCAAGCAAAGCCTTATACTTGACTCAGTAATATATCTTTCCCTGTCTCTAATGTAACTGTGTTTACATGCCACATGAGATCAGTTACAGAGGCCATATTTCTAAAGCTTTAGAGAACTTTCTATAAAGAATCTTAATTTGAGAGAAGTGGAAAATCGAGAGTGGGGCATGAAGTCCCTGGCTAGTAGAGCCAACATCTTCAATCGCCTTTTTTGATCTAATACTAGGGGAGCATACCAGGTCTACATTGTAGAAAGCCAGGTGGCAAAGAGCTGAGAGTGTGAGCCACCTATGTACATTGAACCACTGGCCACGTTACACCAGGCTGCTGATGAGGGAATCAGCAGTACCTGGGACCCGAGAGTGAAGAATTGGGCCACATGACTGAAAAGGGACCAGGCTTGGGGGCATATAAACCTAGCCTCTGGTCATGGAGGTGCAGTCTAACCCTAGTCGCTGTAGAGCAGGGGTGGACAAAATATGGCCTGCAGCAGATACCTTGCCCAGGTGCCACCCAGCCATGGCACATCCTGCAGTCACCTGAGCATGCGGCAGGGCTGGGGCAGCTCCACAGCTAGACTGTCTTTCTAGGCATCCCAGGCAGCGGTGGCTCCTTCCAGCTGCTGCTGCCCCCAGCCCTGCAGTACCGGACAGAGACCCACACGCAGAGTCCTGACCCAGTGCACCCCACACCTGCTCTGGACTTGTCTGTCCAAGCTCAGTAGCAGCAGCTGCTGGGCAGAAGCTGTTGCTTGGCATGGGGAAAAAGCAGCTTCTCCGCTGCTGCTAGGGAGTTCTTGGTGCAGCCAGCGGAGCCCCTTCCAGCTCCCTCTCCTACTGTGCAAACCCGGTCATCTCCTGTGCTATCCTGCCCCCAGGACCAGGGCAGGAAGTAGAAGCTAGAAGAGGGAGGGAAAGCATGAAGAATCTGGCTGCTATAGCAAAAGTGGTGGTTGGGCAGGAACCCACAGGACACATGGTAACACTTGGGGGGCCATATGCAGGTTGTTTAATATTAAAATACAAATAGTATACATCACTGATAAAACAATACAGGTAAGGTATCTTAAACCACTAGTTGAAAGCAATCAAATGTTCATTAACCTAAAGGAACAACAGCATCATTAGTCCCTGAAACAGAAGTTAAATTTAGTGAGTCATAAAATCTTAGGCCAATCACCTATCGGTGGTTTTTATCAGGGAAAAAGAATATCTTACTTTAAAAAACTTTAAAATGTATATATTTCAGTGCTGATCTTGGTTCACCTGAAGATAGAAAGTTTAACAAGAACCAGAATTCAAGACTGAAGAGCAAAGGTTTTTATGCTCAATTACCTGTCCCAACTTCAAAAGCTTGCTAACTATGGCTAGCAAATATAAAATTTGTGCTTAATAGCCATAATAGACAGAATTCATATTAATTTATCTAATATAACTTGCATGTTACCAAGGAAATAAATCTACTTATCTCCTAGCTATGTTACTATTTTTTAAGTTAAACTAGATCAAACCAGTAGCAGACTAGTAGTTCTAGGCAATGCAAAGCTGACCATGCTAGCTTAGCAGATGTTTTGCCTACATTCTGAAGTCTTCTTGTATATGGTTTTCTCACCTGTTCCTTTCTTTTGCCTGAAGTGGGGTTCAAAAGAGGATGGAACTAGGCTATTCTCACTGGTGACAGAACAAGGAGCAATGGTCTCAATTTGCAGCAAGGGAAGCTTATGTAAGATATTAGGAAGAATTTTCTCACTAGGAGGGTAGTAAAACACTGAAACAGGTTACCCAGAAGTGGTGGAAGTTCCATCCTTTGGGATTTTCAAACCCCAGCTAGATAAAATTTTGGCTGGGATGATCTAGCTGAGGCTGGTCCTACTTTGAGCAGAGCAGGCGGATGGACTAGATGACCTCCTGAGGTCCCTTCCAAGCCTTATTTTCTATGATTCTTCCCTTAGCTTTGTTACTCAGTCTAACTTGACTTAAGCTATTTTGTAGTCCTTTTGCAATCTACGACAGAGCATTCTTCATCTTTAGAACACAGCCCATTAAGACCTCTTTGGTTTAATCGGGGTGTTGTTATGCACCAAAGTATACTACAAATGCAGCGAGTGACCCTCATACAAGACACAGCATGAACAATTCCTCCCATGTCCCGTTCAGTGTATCATAAGAAAAATGCAACATAAACAGCCACATTCAATAGATGGAAAAATGCACTGTAATTTATGCAAATGAAGCTGGTCAAAAGCTAAGGACAGGCATCAATTGCAATCAAAAACATATGCCAAATCATCCAGTATAGCTTATGCAGTTTCACTGCCATGGGATAAATAGAAACTTTCAAAGATACAAAGAGGCATGTTTAAGCATCTGTTAGGTTTGCTGACAAGCTTGTAATTGCTTTGGCAATTTCTCTAGTTGTACATCAATTCTTAATCAATAGCTGCACTAAACTCTTGCTCTATACTTTCCTAAAATGGCTTTTGTGTCATTCTTGGACTGTGTGGGACCTGACCTCACAGGAATAACTTCTCAGATGCTACCCAATAGGCAACACTGATATGCACTTAGCTAGGGTTTCTTCTGAGAGAGAGAAGCTGGGAACAACTGTTTTGTGGCATGAATCCAACTATTCACGGTAACATCCCAAGATCTTAGCTAACACTGTGCCTCTTTTTTAGTTTCATGATGTGTCATGGCACGTGTCAGTGGCAAGGGTTCACTGTGTACCACACAGAATATGCTGATACTCTGGTTACACTTCAGTATCCTTACCTGCCAGTGCTAATGGCAGCATGACAAGCAATCTGAACTCACATGTGGTGGGTAGGTTTAAACTTAATATAGTAACAGGGACTATCCAAGGACATCACCATTTATCAGTCCATAACCATTACTGTTATTTTTGTTTTAAAAATTAAATCCACCTAATTGAGCATAGGTATATTTTGCAAAGTTCAGAGTACTGCTCCTATTGCCTGTGAGAGAGCATCACAAACTAACTTTACAGGTAACAATGCACTGTAGCATGTTAGGGACTCATTGGATGTTTTATACTTCTCAGCCTCATCAGAAACCTTTGGTGGGCCAAAACCATTTCTATTGTGCAACAAATGTATTTGTATTAGGCAAGAACCATCTGTCCATTCCCAGAAAAAATAATGAAATTGTGATATATTTTGTAGCAGGACTACCTTAAGCATAACTTCTGATTTTTCTTGAGATTTATGTAGCCAAACTTCCTCAACAGGATGGTGACAATACTTAAAAGTCTTTGATATTTTTCCCTGTTTGCTCCAAACCATCCCCAGAACTTTGAGCACCTCAAGAAGTGATTTCCATCACAAAGTCTTGTAACCGTATCATCCAAGTAATAACAAGAACCAGGAATGTCCTTTAAACCTTGGTCTATGGCTCACCAACAAATATAGGAGAAGGGAATGCTATTCCAAACAAATCTTCACATTCATTGTCATGTTCTTCTTGCCAGATTCCCCATCATGTCGTTCTTGAGCTAGATTAACTTTAAATAGATACTTAACCAACAGCTAATGAGGCCAATTACTCATCTACTTTAGGCAAGGCCACTTGCAAAGTAAGTGAATGGCCACAGTTGGTTTTTCTATTTATTGGCCCAGTTGGAACATGCTATTCACTCTACGTCACCTTGGATGGAAATCCAGTGCTGTTAACTGAGATTTTTCTAGTTTTGTTGTTTGCTGTATCACAAAACTGAATGAACAAGCTTCACAAGGTCTAGACATTTCTCCCTCTTTACTTACAGATGTTTTACTTTTTATGGTTCCAATACCATCCTGAAAGAACATTAAAAAACATCACTTAAAAAAAAAAGAGAGACTTTCAGGTACATTGTAGCTTTACTAGGTCTCACTTATATTCAGGTTTAGGCCCCAATTCAGCAAAGTATATTTAAACAGTCAATGAAACTGCATGATTGAAGTTATGGATACCTAAGGACCTGGGCTCATCTGGAACCTTATCCATTTACCTTCTCCTGTATGCTGAAAACATACTGAATGATTTTAAAAAGTTCCATGATTGATTCCAGACAAATGCAGTCATGGCCTGCTCTCTAAAATCAGCTCATTCCCTATAGAAAGAGTAGTAATATACCTATATTTCTAATACTAGCTGTGATCTGTATGCATCAGGTAGCTGACCAGCAGATGGCTGGGTTGCACCATACATACATTGTACAAACAAGCAAGCAGTTCAATACTGTTGCAACAGAAGATAGTTTACCTTACTTTGCCAATTGAGATTAGATTAACCTTTTACTAGTTCTCAGTATCCTAGGTTCACAGCAGTCAGGTTCTCTTAAGGATTAACTAAAACAAGTAGACACAAAGTAGGTTTTACCCCATACTTAAAAAACCAAAATGTTCTTCTAAAAAACAAATATTGAAGGCAAAAATTTTTCAAACTTTGCCATTTTTTTTTCTTTTTAGATAAAAACAGATAACAAGTTGGGCAAAAATAGTTCATTGACCTGACACTGTATTTTTCAGTAATTAAACTATTTATCTGAAATATTACCACTTGGCTTTACTCTGCAGCATTGGAAATTGTCCAGAATTGGGATAGCACAGGATCTTACTTAATATATTCTACTTGACCACAAACAGAACTCACCTTTTTGAGGTATATCGTCTGACTTGATTACAGGAGGTAAAGATTTATATGGGTGATAACTTTTATCGGACCAATTGTATACAGGCAGTCCTTGGACTTACGACACAATTGGTTCCTGAAAATGGTGTCTTAAGTCAAAACATTGTAACTCGGAACCGATTTTCCCATAGGAAACAATGTTATAAATGGGGGATTGGTTCCTGAACCAAGGCCAGATACCCTATTTTCACCAAAAAATACCCCAAAATTTTGTACTTGATCAATTATAGCTGCATTAATGTATTTATATTGTAAATAGCAATCATATTGATTTGGAAGGACTTCTTTGAGGTGACTTTACTGGACTTTTTGAAAGGGTCTTGGTTAGACTTTTTGAAGGGATCTTGGCTGGATTCTTCTTAGGAGATTTGGCTGCAGGCTTTTCTGGAGTCTTGTCTGCTTTCTTAAAGAAAGTGTCCAAGGAAGTTTGGACAGATGTTCTCTGGAGAAGTGGATGACACAGCAACACTCTGAGGTCAGTTTCAACTTTACAACTCTTGATCTGATGCGACTTGGCGTCACATCAGATCAAGAGTTGTAAAGTTGAAACTGACCTCAGAGTGTCAATTTAGAAAGGTTGCAACTCAAAACATTGTAAGTCGAGGACTGCCTATAGTTGGGAGGGACAAAGATGAGCTTTCAGGTACCTTTCATGGTACCTTTCCCCAGGTATCTCCTGCATGCCACCCTACTGCTGTTGCACTGTTTTAATAAAATGTGATAAAATGTTTAAAAATGAAGTTAAGCAGTTCAGTTATACTGTATCAAGCACCGTCCTTTAATGTTAGCAACTTTGGTAGCAGATGTGCACTGTGCTGCTGAAGACAGTAACTTGCCAGTGATTGGGATCCATTTATCAAAGGTGTTTACAAATAAAGCATTGATTAGTGGCAGAAGAGCTATAATTAACATGAAAGTAGATAATTAAAAGTAAAAGACCCTCCCCAAAATGATGTAAAAAACCCCACTGCTATCACGAATGTTTAAAAATACACAAAAAAATAATTTTCAATATTTTGGAACAACTTTATTGGTTATGAAATCTTATAAAACAATTTCAGAAATAAAGTATAATCATGACTATTACGTTGTAATTGCATTTTGTTTTACTATATATTTTTACATTTTATAATTTTCTGCAATTTAATGTCATTATTGAAATAAATTGAAAAAAATGGAAACAGTTATATCCTCAAGATTTAAAGCAAGTAAGGCAGGGTCTCTTTTTAGTAAGAAAAAGTCTTTTATTGCACTTTTCTACCAGTTTCTTCTCTTAAGCCTTATGTATATTTTTCTTAATAGACAAAACACATTATTTGAACCGAATAGTACTGTTATTAAGCTAATAAAATTCACCTTTGTCTTCCCAAATTGTGTTACTGTATATTTTTTAAACACACGGAAACATTTATAAACCCGAAACATAAAAGGATCGTCATAGGTCCAATGGCTTAATAATTTTGACATTGCATCTGAATGCAGAGACATCCTTCATAAAAAGGGAAGATACTTCAACATATTTACTTTCTTCTTTCCTTAAAAAAGTTAATTCCTTTCAGCTCTTCAGGCAAATACTCTTGGTTTACAGGCTCCTTGTACATGGGGTTATATTTATAGCCTTTTCCATATCCCAAGTCTTTCATGAGTCTGGTTGGAGCATTTCTCAAGTGCAATGGAACAGGAGGAAGTGGTCCCTGGTGGCTTCTCAGGCATTCTTTGACATTGCTGTATGCTCCATATATCTCTATAGACTTGGGTGCTCTAGCAAAGTAGACTACACACTGAGCTAGTAGAACCTGAAACATGGAGCAAAAATGGTATCAACTTTTAGATATCCTAGAGTCTTGTGGAGTCAAAGGGCATAAACCAGCCAAGTGCCTGAAAACTGTGCTAGCTAGGAAAAGCTGAACTCTGGAAGTCAAGAAAACCGGTCAGCTTAGCTTCTATAACCATCAGAAAATTGGAAATCTCTAAGACTTTGGATATTTGAGAACCTCAGAGACTCTTTGTTTAAATAAAAACCTAACTTCAAGGATCTCCATTTCTTCCTTAACAGCTCCTCAGTCACACCATAAAATGGTATGACTTTTAGACTGCAAGGTCTTTTAGGCAGTAACAGTCATCTGATTTGAACATCACATAGCACCTTAACTTGGTCTCTGTGCTACAACAATATGAATGTTACATAGTAATGATAAATTTCTGCATAATATGGGTATCTGAAAACCAAAAAAAGGAGTTAATTTAGGATTTGGGCAAATGGTACAATTACTACAAAGTAATTTTGTTTTTTATATTAATATATTTTGTATTCCAGGTCATATTAGCCAAATCAGTTCCAAATTATATTTTTTGAGCAGAACTCAATCATTCCAAAAACCATATCAATTGAGCAAGCAGAACTCAATCGTTCTGAACACCATGGTGCTACAACTGGCGAGCTTCCTCCATCCCAGACTTAGCACCCTGGGACTTCAGATACTCCTAAATTCATTGGCAGGCATCCTACATGCAGGCCCAAGCCCAGAGGTCTTGGGGTTTGGATACCCCCAGATACTACAGGCAAGCATCCTTCATCCCAGACTCTTTGGTCCGGGGTTTCAGATACTCCCTACACTCAATCTTAGCCCACAAGAGGCCAGAACTACACTTGATCGTTTTCTTTGTAGTAAAGAACAGACAAACCATCAATTGGCTACACCAGGGGTAGGCAACATTTTTTGGCTGGAGTGCCGAAAAACACCATAATCCCTACCTCAGAAGGTGCCGGAGTGTTGGCATGGCAGAAAAACAAAATGAGGGCAAGGGGTACATGGCAGGATGCCCTGCTTGTGCCCCTTGCCCCCCACACAAAGCCTCGGTCCCCCAGGCCTACTGCCCCTTGCCCCGCACCCAAAGCCCCTGCCCCCCAGCCCGGGCTCTCTGGCTGCCAGCAACTACCCCAGCTCTGAGTAGTTGCTAGAGCCCAGGCTGCTCCGAGCAGG